ATCATAATAATAATAATAATAATAATAATAATAATAATAATAATAAATAAACAAATAAAAGCAAATAAAACATATATTCTGGACCTCTGCAATGTATACGGATTACAAAAATATACATATTATTGTTATTTTTTAAATTATCGAAATAAACTAATAAAACAATAAACATAAATGAATAGAATGTAAAACCAATTAACATTTTTGATTTAATTTATTAATTAATTCATAACAAAATAATAAAAAAAATAAACAAATAAAATCATTCTTCTAGGCCTCTGCAATGTATCTGGATAAAAAAAAATAATTAATTTAAAAAATTAAGTAAAATAAACAAACAAATTAATAATAAAAATAAATGAAGAATAAACAAAAAAATTCTACATTTTTTATTAAATACAAGCAAAACATATTAAATTAAAACAATAATATTAAATGAAATAAAAAAAAGATTAAATGAATAAATAAAATGTAAAACTAATTTAAAGTTTTTAAATTAAACAAGCAAAGCACATTAAATAAATAAATAAATACAATAATGATATATTTATTATTATTATTATCATTATTAAATTAATGACAAACTAATAAAAAAAAATTGAATATAATAAAACTTAAATAAAATTCAATCTATACTTCTGGACCTCTGCAACATATCTGGATTAATAAAATAAATTCAGTAAAATAAAAGTAAAATAAATAAACAAATAAATAAGTAATAAAAATAAATAAAGATAAAAAATTGATACAAGCAAAACATGTTAATTTAAAAATTATAATAAAATAAATAAACAAATAAAAGATGAAAAATAAATAAAATGTAAAAACAACATTTTAAATTAAATATAAGTGAAACATAAATTAAATAATAAGAATAAAATAAACAAATAAAAGATAAAATAAATCAAACATAAAAAGAAATCATCAATACTTTTAAATGAAATATCAGCAAAACATTTATGTATAACGCGCTACAAACAATCATACAATAAAATGCAGACTGTTTTAATGTTATGCTTGCTTGCATGTTTGTTTTATTTATATAGCACATTAAAAAACAACAGATGTTGCCTAAAGTGCTTTACAAATTCGACCAACACACAGAAATCTATACTTGCACATGTAAACAAAATAAAATGAATTACAATCAAACACAAGAGACAGAAGATAATATTTTAATGAGATTTAAAAGCACCGAGGGAAGAGCACGACCTGATATGCAACAGGAAAAGCCCTGTTGATTTTAATCGAGACTCTAGTGTTATGCATTAACTATAATCTTAGTAACATTTTGAATTAAGCTTTTTATTTTTTATATAAAATTTAGTTTTTAAATTTTTGTTGCATTATAATATTTTAGGCGGCACGGTGGCTCAGTGGTTAGCACTGTCGCCTCACAGAATGAAGGTTGCTGGTTCGAGCCCCGGCTGGACTAGTTGGCATTTCTGTGTGGAGTTTGCATGTTCTCCCCATGTTGGTGTGGGTTTCCTTTGGGTGCTCCGGTTTTCCAGTCCAAACACATGTGCTATAGGGGAATTAAATAAGCAAACTTTCGGAACCCGAACCAGCGACCTTCTTGCTGTGAGGCGACAGACATACACACACTGCGACATCAATGCTTAAAGGATATATTGTTCAGCCCTAGTATCTAGGCATTTTAACTCATTACACCCAACACTGCTTGAGATATGAGTGTGAATCTCTGAATCTCGCATGTTTGCGGGCTCACATGAGGGTCTTCACCTGCCGCTGTGATGTCCGTTCCAGCACTGCTGATCTTCAGTTTGTCCATCTGCTGAAATCTGTTCATCCTTACAGAAAACCAGCGGCAGAGAAACCCAGAACGACTGGAAATGCTTCAGCTTCTCCTTCATCTCAGACACCTTGAGGACCAGCAGTGATAAAACAAGTCAGTGATGAAACACTCGACGTTTGAATCAGCTTAACACTTAAAACATTGACTATTGCACAACAGGTTTTGGCTGGTTTTCTACATGGTGAGTGAAGATATTCAGTTGTTGATGGTTCTCTGACTGCTATTGCTAGAAATCTAAGTATAATTAGTGTTAGTTGTTTGAGATTGGAATGTTCTACTGTATAAAAATAAAATAAAATAAAATAAAATAAAGAATAATAAAATAAAATAAAATAAAATAAAGTATAATAAAATAAAATAAAGTATAATATAATAAAATAAAATAAAATGAAATAAAATAAAATAAAATAAAATATAATAAAATAAAATAAAATAAAGTATAATAAAATAAAATAAAGTATAATATAATAAAATAAAATAAAATAAAATAAAATAAAATAAAATAAAATAAA